TCCGAAATTCGGATCGGGCCCAAGTATGGATCCGGATTCGTGTTTAAATAGACGGATCCTCGGATCCAGCTCTGATCTGATGCTTTTATATATGACGGATCGGATCTCTATGCGGATCCGAATTCGACGAATCTTAAAAATAGTGGATCCGATCCGGATTCGTCAGCGGATCCGGATCGAATCCGGATCTTCGGATCCATTTTGCGGAACACTAAATATCTGTATCAATTCTCAAAAAATAAAAATAAAAATAAAAGTCGAGAGACAGGCATTTGGACTACTGAAGTATTTAACTTATTCCATTTTATGAACTTGATAACTTCGGGTATTGTTAACTAATTTTAGATTTATGATAAATTAATTCGCTGTTGAATATCCTAATTCAGAGTTCTTCTACACAATTGAATTACCACGCAAAATTATATTGAAAATTAATTCTATTGAAATTACATTTATTAGTTTTGATATTCATCAAAATTACCATTTCCTGATGATGAATTTGAATTGATTTCTATATAAAAGATAGATTTTTATTTGAGGCCCTTAGAGTATTAAAAACCAAGTGGTTGGTTAGAGGCAAGAAAGATGCTTTTTCTTTTTTAATTTTGCAATTTAGTTTTCACAATCTAAAAATTATTGTCGCGGATTATGGTGAAATCGGATCATCGTGAAATTTAAGGCCTTAATTTAAAAATATAAGCCCTCACAACCCCAACAAAACCCACTTATACTCTTTTATTATAAACCCTAACCCTAAATACTAGTCCGGATTCAAAAAAAAAGCCTAAAAAAATATACCCCAAAAAATTTTAAAAATTGGAAATTCACGATGATCCGGATTTCACGATCATCTGCGACAATTATTAATATTACAATGGATTGGACATTCGTTCGTGATGATTTTGTTCGTAGATCAACCTTTGCGCGAGTGGGCGATGCATGTATGTTTACAATATCTTAAAACTTTATATATATTTAGAAATATTTTTTCAATTTATTCATAATCCTTTAGATCATTCATGGGGTAAAGAATTTTGTCTTGATTTTGATCTAATATTACACTTAGAAGATTACCTTCAAATGACTGGAAAAGTCGAATTTATATCATCTCAAATAGCAAAAATTTCGATTTGAAGAGGTGGGTTTGGAGTTTTTTTTCTGAAACTCTTTTGTTCTATATAAAATTTTTTAAGGCGAAGTTGGAAATGAAGTGAAAGAACCATGGTGAAGTATATGCAAAACTTAAAAGAGTATTTGCAAGAAAGTTATGGCCACTTTAAAGGAAGATGCTTAAATTTTACATATGTGCCATAAATAAGCATCGAATTTTTGGTATCGTTTGGTTCTCTGATAAAAAGCATTGGCGCTTATTAATGCTAGAAAAACCTTACATATTTCATTTTTTTTTGACTAAACTATGTTGTTTATTGCCGTTATCTATTTATTCGAGAATTTCAGAATACTGTATAGAGCTTAACAATGATCGCTAATGCGAGTAGCTCAAAATTTTGTGCGCGAAATTCTGAAATTACCCTTTATGTTCTGCCTAAAGTTTTATATATATCTGTTCTTACTCTTTTTGGGTTCGTATCACTTGTAACATACGACAGAGTATAAATAAAGATTGACCAATCATAATTGATTATATAAGCATTAAAATTTTTTTTAAAAACGTAATTAGATTTTTCAGATTAAAATAATGGTCCGTAAGCTTAAATATCATGAGCAGAAATTGCTCAAGAAGGTTGATTTTCTCCAGGTAATATAATAGACCTTTCTTTTTTATTTTCGTCAAAATTAAAAATAAGCAATTTGCTTTTTTATTGAATAGTGGAAAAACGAAGATAATATTCGAGAAATCAAAGTCATTCGTCGTTATCACTTGCAAAAACGAGAAGATTATCACAAATACAATAAGCTATGTGGTTCAATAAAAAAACTTGCAAATAGAATTTCTTTATTGGATCCACGAGATCCTTTTAGGGGTAAACAAGAAGCTGCATTATTGGAAAAGCTGTATTCTATGGGCTTAATTACTGCTAAGAAACAGTTTAGTCAACTTGACAAAATTACTGTTTCTGCTTTTTGTAGGTGAGACATAAAATTTTTATAATATTTGGTTTTGAAAGAAACATAAAGATTCATTTAAAAGCATTAATTTGTTTTTATATTAGGCGGAGACTACCAATAGTAATGTGCCGTCTAAAAATGGCAGAAACGGTAAAAGAGGCTGTTACTTTTATCGAACAAGGTCACATTCGTGTTGGACCGGAAACTATTACTGATCCTGCATATTTAGTCACAAGGTACCTATTATTTCTTATATATTGTAAATATATATTTATATAGTTGTTAATTAACTCGAAATAGGAATCTCGAAGATTTTGTTACTTGGGTGGATACTTCAAAGATAAAACGCAAGATCATGAAATATAATGATAAGGTTTGCTTAATATCCATTATCTTTTCATATTTTATATATATATATATTTACTAGCATAATCGCTCACGTTTTTTTCATTCTTAAACGTAGCTTGATGACTTTGATTTATTATAAACCTAGAACGTAGATAGTAGAATGATTATATTGGCATACTCGAAGTCTATTGCATATTATGTTGTACAAACAAAATTTCTTTATACACAAATTTGTCACGAAATTCATTATTAAGATTATTATTAGGAAAGAAATTTATTGGTGTCCAGAATTTTACTCTAATCGATAAATTCTATGAATTTGTAAATTTCTATAGCGGATTTTAGTATTAATTCTAATTCTAATACCTTAACTGGCAAATACTATGAATTTGCAGGATCGCGCTGCATCTATAGATAGTATATACTTTTTTTCGAAAAAATTTTAATTTTATAAGGATAATACGTTTAAAAATTTTTACATGGAAGTGGAAACCCCACGAACCTAGCATGACCACCAAAATTACGATGTCGTAAATATGACTATTTTTGTTGGTATGACGATACCTGCTTATAATACAACAATAACAAGTGCTGCTTAAAATTTTTCTTACCAAATATTCATAAAAATTCATAAAATTTATTAATGGAAATTAATTATTTAACCCAATCGAATCAGAAAGAATGTTCGTCTTGCAAAAAACAAAACGGATTAATGAATTTGACAGTAGTAAAAGAACATGTATCGAATGCTTAACTCGTATAAATAAAGGTCAAAAACGGAAACATCAGGATCAAAATATAAATGACATTTGTGAAATGCAAGAAAATGCTATAGAGCTTGAAGATATCATTTATAAAAAATTTATCAATAGTGAAGAAGAGGATTCATGAATATTGCAGAAGACGATGAATTAAGTGAAGATAATAAAACTGAATTAGAAATTATCGATCAATATAAAAAAACTCTTCATGAGGTATAGCTTATTTATTATTTTTATCGAATTAATTATACAACATAATAAATAGAAGTATTAATATCGATATTACTTCAATATAGATGCTTAGAAAGTCTAAGGAATAGAATAAACAAGCTTTTTATAGGCAGAAATATGCTTAGCCTCTTTATAGAGATCAAGTGCATGTTTAAAGACTGCTAGAAATTCTAGAAGCCTTGTTTTATAGTCAACAAAGCCCTTTAACAAATTATTTATTGATTTATCTCTTTATGTTAACACTATGTTAGCAAAAAAAAATAATCCTTTAAATATGCTGGGGAATACTATTTATATGACTTTGCTTTAGTATAGTTATCATTTTTTATTATACAACTCCATTTTTTTCAAATTTATTTTTGTCAATATAATAGCTTAGACATTTTATATGATTTATATAAAACATATTATATTTTATTTTAATCTTAGAAGTTATATTAGTTCTAATATTCTTTAACATATACTGAATACAAGCCATGTTTAATGCTATACTTTTTAGTAAAAATGAAATATATAGTTTTAGATATTACAAAATTATTGTCTATAAAAATAGTATAGGATATGATACTAAAAATACAAATAAAAGATATTTAAAACTTGAAAATATTTTGTTTCAAAGCAATATCTAGTGCTCGGCAGAATCAAATAATTATTTGATAGTCAAATACTTAAGTAATATTTGACGATCATAATTTCTAAATCGGGTAATGCATAATCTTGATCTAATAATCTCTATTATCACCACTAATGCTAATCATTTGTTATACTTTAACAACTAATAAAACTTCGAGATCTTTTAAATTAAATTGCATTAAAAATTAAACTTTTTTTTTAATATACTGTAGTTATTGAATTCTTCAATAAGCATATAACTTCCTTTTCTCTTTCATGTACTGATTAAAGCATTTTTTGATCTTCCCATTCAGTATTTCAGGGTTCTAGGATTTGCTTAAGATCTTCCGGTTGTAAATTTTCTTTTTGGTTCTTAGAATTCGGGGAAGTATGATGTTTTTTTTTAATATACTATAGTTATTGAATTCTTCAATAAGCATATAACTTTTTTTTCTCTTTCAAGTACTGATTAAAATATTCTTTGATCTTCACATTTGGTATTTTAGGGTTTTAGGATTTGCTTAAGATTTTCCAGTTGTAAATTTTCTTTTTGGTTCTTAGAATTCGAGAAAGTATAATATTTTTTTTTAATATACTGTAGTTATTGAATTCTTCAATAAGCATATAACTTCCTTTTCTCTTTCAAGTACTAATTGAAGCATTCTTTGATCTTCCCATTTGGTATTTTAGAGTTCTAGGATTTGCTTAAGATCTTCTGGTTGTAAATTTTCTTTTAGGTTTTTAGAATTCAGTGAAGTATGATGTTTTTTTTAATATACTGTAGTTATTGAATTCTTCAATAAGTATATAACTTCCTTTTCTCTTTCAAGTACTGATTGAAGCATTTTTTGATCTTCTTATTCAGTATTTTAGGGTCCTAGAATTTGCTTAAGATCTTTCGGTTGTAAATTTTCTTTTTGGTTCTTAGAATTCAAGAAAGTATGATATTTTTTTTAATATACTGTAGTTATTAAATTCTTCAATAAACATATAACTACTTCCTTTTCTTTTTCAAGTACTGATTAAAGCATTCTTTATTCTTCTTATTCAGTATTTTAGAGTCCTATGATTTTGTACTATTGTTACTAGGATTTGCTTAAAAACTTCCAGTTGTCTATTTTTTTTTTGGTTTTTAGAATTTGGAGAAGTATTGTTTTTTTTTAATATATTGTAGTTATTGAATTTCTTCAATAAGCATATAACTAACTTTCTTTTCTCTTTCAAGTACTGATTAAAGCATTCTTTGATCTTCCCATTCAGTTTTTTGGCATATTTCAGGAGCATTATATAATATATTGTTTATTATTTTTTTTTTAAATATATTTTAAATATTTCTTTCTTTTTAATAGATAATAATCAATTGTTTTATTCAGAATTATGTGGCTATTATTTATATTTTTGTTGTAAAAATGAATTCACTACTAGCAACCTCTACTATTTGGTCTTTTGGTAATAATAGTATTATTATTGTTAGTATTAGATTTTAAATCTATGAATTAATATGGGATACTATAGAGGTGTTTGTTAGTAGTAGATTTATCTATTATTTTTAATACATTTATGCCCTAATATTAATGGTAATTCAGGATATTTTTCTAATATGCTTATCATATAATAATATTTGGTTAGGATAATTATACTATAAGTTTGGTAAGTTTAAGACTAGTTTTTTATACTTGATGAAAAATAATTTACAAAAGTACATAATAATAGCAGTAAAAAAAATCTATTTTTTATTATAAAAAATGTATAAATTTTTTTTTATTAATATTAATAAAAATTAAATAATAAAATTTTGAATTAAAAATCAATGTATTAAATTTATATGCATTCATTATGCTTAATCTTTATGCATGATTATTATGTTTGCTTGATCACAATTAATCTTTATGCATGATCATTATGCTTGCTTGGTCACTATTTAATCTTTATGCATGATTATTATGCTTGCTTGATTGCTATTAAGCTTTATACATGATCATTATGCTTGCTTGATCATTATTTAATCTTTATGTATAATAGTTATACTTGCTTAATTACTTTTAATCATTATGTGTAATAACTTTGCATGATATATATACGATTGTTATAAATATAGTATGCAATAAGAAA